TGTGGACAATTCCCAGTTTGTATTCTAAAAATCCTGTGATCCCAAAAGGCAAGAAACCTTTTCCTCTGCTTTCACCTTGGGCAAACAATAACCTGGGGAAGCACTTTCAATGCAATGGCTGGAGTAACAGGATTGGGGCCCTGTGGGGAGCAACTGGGAGCAACTCGGACTAGACTAAGTTACTGGAATTAAGACTTATTCTATGCATCTGCTTTCCCACAATATGGCGCTGAGAAGGGAAACAGCTTCTACACAGCTGCCTCCAGTTCAACCAATAAACTGTGGGACCTGCTCCTGATTGGAGGAGAGCAGCGTACTCGGCGTGTGGGTAGCAGAGTTGGGATTGGCGGAGGAGGACTATAAAGGAGGAGAGAGACGGCATGCACCAGGAACATCTAAGGGGAACATCTAAGGGGAACACCTGTGCAGCCCCCGAGAGAGCCGGCTGGCGGAGTGCCACTCCCCCGCGGAAGTGGGGAATGTGGCAGGGGGAACCACCCTTCCACGGAGGTGGAAGGGACAGTAGCCAACCCGGGAAGAACCAGCAGCAAACCCGGGGAGGGCCGAGCAGACGAAAGAACAGCGCAGGGTCCTGTGTCGTTCCTCCACGAAGACGGGGAGCGACATAATGGTGCCGTGACTCGGATAAGGAAACTTAGGAGGGAAGAAATGGGAAAATGCCGGAGAGAGAGACTAGCGAAGAGCCTAGGGAAAAGCCGGACAGAAAAGGTGCCGGAAGAAGCTATCGAAAGCCTAGGCGTAGACTCGGATACGGACTGTGGGAAAGAAGTTAGGATTTAAAGTGAAAGCAATAAGAAACTTAGACTCAGATACGGACTGCAGGTTGAAAGTGAAAGTGAAACCTATTAGACTTGGATACGGACTGTGGGGAGAGGCCAGGAGAAATGAGGGAGGAATATTGTTGGAAGAAAACTTAGGGAAACATACCGGGTAGAGAAAAATGTTAGGGAGGATGAAGCCGCGAGTGCAGGCCGAGGCGGAGACGTAAGCCACCTTGGAATTCTTCAAGTCACCCCGGGGAGCAAGAGTCGAAGATCTGGAACCAGACACAGAGACGTGGGCCGCCAGGTTGGAATTCGCCAGGTTAGTCCGGGGAACTTGGATTGAATGCTAGTGGCGGAGACGTAAGCTACGCTGTGTGACTCGCGGAGGCTGCCGCGCGCAGAGAGAGCGTGCGGGGCACAAGTAGATAGGGAATGCTGGGCAAGTGCGTGGAGACCGCGGAGCATGCGCGCAGAGCCGGGAACCTGCCGGCGGGGCGAGGCGCCGGGAAGCCGCGGGGCGAGGTGCTGAGAAGCAGCCTCGGGGCGGGCGCCGGGAAGCCGCAAGGATAAGAGAAACAGAAGTTTAGAAGTAAAATGAGAGAAATAGGAATGTTGGCAGACAGAAGTAAAATGGGAGAAATAGGAATGCCCGGAGATAGAGAAATAGAGAAATAGAAAGGCCTCCCCACAACATGGCAATGAGAAAGCTTGGATTCGGTCTGCCTGATTAGTGAGGCGATGAGCACCTGCGGGCGGCTAGCAGCTTATGCGCCGCAGGTCACCGAAGACAGGCACGAATTAACATCGATAAGTCTCCCCACAATATGGCAATGAGAAGGCTTGGATTCGGTTTGCCTGATTGCTAGGTTTTGTAAGCACCTGCAGGCAGTTCTAGCAGAACAGAGCATGCGCTGCAGGGCACCGAACACAGGCACGCATCAGCGCCTAAAAACCTCCTCACAACATGGCGAAGAGAGGACCCGGATTCGGTTTGCCTGATTGATAGGACTTGTAAGAACCTGTGGGCAACTCTAGCAAGTAGAGCAGAGTGTGTGCCGCAGGACACCGAAGACAGGCGCGTATCAACGCCAAAAAATAAAAAGAAAGGGGGAATCTGTGGGGAGCAACTGGGAGCAACTCGGACTAGACTAAGTTACTGGAATTAAGACTTATTCTATGCATCTGCTTTCCCACAATATGGCGCTGAGAAGGGAAACAGCTTCTACACAGCTGCCTCCAGTTCAACCAATAAACTGTGGGACCTGCTCCTGATTGGAGGAGAGCAGCGTACTCGGCATGTGGGTAGCAGAGTTGGGATTGGTGGAAGAGGACTATAAAGGAGGAGAGAGACGGCATGCACCAGGAACATCTAAGGGGAACACCTGTGCAGCCCCCGAGAGAGCCGGCCGGCGGTGTGCCACTCCCCCGCGGAAGTGGGGAATGTGGCAGGGGGAACCGCCCTTCCACGGAGGTGGAAGGGACAGCAGCCAACCCGGGAAGAACCAGCAGCAAATCCGGGGAGGGCCGAGCAGACGAAAGAACAGCGCAGGGTCCTGTGTCGTTCCTCCACGAAGACGGGGAGCGACAGGGCCCTGTAGAGTTACAGATCTCTGGACAAGGGAGAGAAGTTGGAACAGTCTCCGGAGGAGACAAAACACTTGGACAGACAAGAATGAGAGCTGTCTCTACAAGCATGAAGTCAAATGATGTGAAGAGTCTTGCTCTCCTTGACTGCCCAGGATCTCTTCATTAAATCAACCACACTTGCTGGTTAAGATTAGTGTGCTCATCACCACAGGACATGAAACTCATCCCTTTTCCTTTTCAAAAGTGTTTCAGGTCGAACAATTAACCACACTTCTATACTCACTGTAAATAAGACCAATTAACAATTAGGCTTCAGGCACCCACTTGTGTCGTCCTGTTACTTTGACTCAGTTGAACTTCAGTCTTTCCTCTGCCTTTCCTTTCTAACTCCAGTGTCTGACACTCACTATTTTTCATGACATATACACTCTTTCCACCTTCTGTCTTTGATTATATCACATCCTTCCTCCTCCTTGAACTCTTACAGATTTTTTTGGGGAAGATTTATTTATTTTATTTGAAAGGCAGAGTTATAGAGAGGCAGAGACAGAGAGAGAGGTCTTCCATCTGCTGGTTCAAGCCCCAGATGGCTACAATGGCTGGAGCTGGGCCTGTTCAAAGCCAGGAGCCAGAAGCTTCTTCTGGGTCTCCCACGCAGGTGCAGGAGCCCAAGTACTTGGGCCATCTTCCACTGCTTTCCTAGGCTATTAGCAGGGAACTGGATTGGAAGTAGAGTAACTGTCACCCACATGGCATGCAGGCACCATGGGCAGAGGCTTAACCTACTATGCCACAGTGCTAGCTCCAAAACTTTTTTATTGATTTATTTTGATTTTTGAGATACTAACCTCCCCATTCTGGTTTACTCCCAAATATCCCAGAGTCAGGAACTCAATTCAGGCCTCCCATATGCGTGGCAGGGGCCCAAACACATGAGCCATCATCTGCTGTCCGCTAGGTGCATTAGCAGGAAATCTTCAAGGGAAGCAGAGTAGCCGGGACTCAAATTAGCATTGCTGTGTGAGTTGGGGGCATTGCAAACTGGGGGAGGCTTAGCAGGTTGTGCTACACTGCCTGCCCTATATAGCATTTTAAATGATAACAAACGTTAACAGGAAATGAATGGAGCGGGTAAGGGGGAGGAGCTGGAAGAACTTGAGACCTGGAGTTGGGGAAGATGGTTGCAAGATTAACAATAAGCAGTGAAGGTGGACTTCAGAGTGAAGGTGATTATTTGAACAGACACTTGAAGGAGATGAGGGAGAGGCACACAAATCTCAGGTAGAAAGCCTTCAAGTGGAAGAAACAGCCTGGTAGGGTCCCAATTTGGATGTGCAAGGTCACTGTGGCTGAAGGCAGAGGGCAAGCAGGCAGATGTTGTAGGGCTTCAAGGTCATTTAGCTTTGAGAGAAAAGGGCCCCATTAGAGGCTTCTCTGGGCTGTTGATTTTAATTTCATCACTGCCTAATGCATCTTGATGGATGTTATACAATCTGCTTCTCTCAAGGGATCTTGGGAATGTGTGCTTCTTTTGAATGTGAGACAGTGCTAATGCTTTGCACACTGCATTCATCCAGGTTACAATAGGCTCTGCCTATAGTACAGGGCTTTCCGAAAACACATTCAAGTACAGAGGGCTTGAATGAATGAATGGACAAATGATGCTTACCATGCCTTCAGGTTGGCCCTAAACCTACTAGTTCAACTTCATTGTCCCCTACCGCCTTCTCCACTTAGGTTTCATAAGGCCCGCCTGCTCTCAGCTTTGCCTGTCTTTGCTCACCTCATTTCCTCCGGTAGGAAATGCTCTTCCCAAACCTTCCCACTGGAATCAAAGTCTACTTATTGTTAAAGACTCAGGACAAGCCCCACCCACTCCAGAAAGCCCTTGCAGACCCCTTGGCCTCATGCCTTTTCCAAGCTCGCATGGCATCCCCACTGTGATAACTTTCATTGCCTCGATCTTTTGTTGGATGGCTTTTTCTGGTGTTTAAAGAGTCATTGTGTGGGGGCCAGGGCTGCGCCTGTAGATTAAGCAGTCACCTACAACACCTGGCAACCCATGTTGGCGCTGGTTTTGATTGCTGCTGCTCCACTTCCCATCCAGCTCCCTGCTAGTGAGCCTGGGCGAGCAGGGAAGATGGCACAAACGCTTGGGCCCCTGCGCCCAGTTGGGGGATCCTGATGGAGTTTCTGGCTCGCTCCCCCCCCCCCCCCCGCCCGGTCCCCATCTTGGGTGCACTAAACCAACAGATGGAAGATCTCTCTCTGTGTGCCTCCATGTCGCTCTCTGCAATTCCGCCTTTCTAGTAAATAAATCTTAAAAAAAAAAAGGAGCTCGTTTAAACTCTTTAAATGCCATGAACATCAGCATCTCAGTGAGGGAGGTGATTGTACGATTTTTGCTTTGTAGTTGACTAGATAAGAGAAGTTCGGTGAATTGGCTCATCCCAACGAAGTTTAATTAACAAGGAGTGTACAGGGGCCAGGACCCAAGTCATAGCCCAGACCAGCACCCACTGAACGCCTTCTTTGTAAGAGGGTGAAATCAACACTTCCCTTCCCTCGGCCAGTTCACGCCACTCCATCCGCCAATCAGAGCTGGCCGCGGCCGCGGAAGTTCGTCCCTTGCGGGACGCCGTAGCACCTCTCCCGCCCCTGCTCAGCGCCGGGCGAACATGGCGGCCTCCGAGTCCGCGGGGGCTCTGAGTTCAGGCTCGGCAGAGGGCGAGGAGGAGACGATTCTGTACGATTTGCTGGTCAACACCGAATGGCCACCGGAGACAGAAGTCCAGGTGAGCCAGGCCCTTCTGCGGCTGCAGCCAGCTTGGCGCGGGCACTTCGCCGGCTGAGACGCGTAGCAGCAGCCACGTAGCGGAATGGAGCCGGGTGGGCGGGGGCGCAGGGCTGGCGGCTTGTGCGGTCTCCCTGGCAACGGCCCCTTGGCTCGCGGGGGTCTGGGCCGTCCGTGAAGAGTTGGCTGGCCTGAGAACCCTCCCGGGCCCCTCCGGGCGACCCCGCGCTCGGCGGCTGGCGTCTTGCCGCTCCGGCTGTCAGCTTCACTCTGGCTGTTCGGAGGGGAGGGCGCAGGGCTGGACGCGAGGGCCTCCTCCCGCGAGCTGGCGGAGGCTGGTCAGGGCCGGCCCCTCGTCTGTGGTGGAAGAATTTCCAGGACCCGACAGTGAAGCGAACTGC